CATGTGCCACATTCTAGCCCTGTGTCACCTGCACCAACACTACCTGTCTCCTTGCTCACGCCACACCCTGGTGTGAGGCTGGGGCAGAAAATTGGCAAAGACGCTGGGACCTCCTTGCCATCATGGGATTTGTGGGTCAGCTTCCCTGGGGGTGGGTTTCTAAACAAAACTGAGTCTGTTAGCAAGGAAGTGGGGTAAGCGGAAGGGAGGAAATAGGGGTGGGCTTTGTGAATGAAGTGGCAAGAGTGGAGTCTGTCCCCTTGTAAGACCACGGGTGTGGTATGTCAGAGCACAGGTATCACTCACGGCCCCCATGCCAAGCTGTCAGGGACCCTGGTACTTAGCCTAACCTCTGCGTTCCCTTAGACTTCAGTGTAAGGTTGTTTTGATTATAAAAACTTCTGGTCCCTCCCTGATTTCTCATGGGTGATGACTTCATTGGTAAGAAGGTGGACTCTGGAATTGGCCGGAGTTCTAATCCTGGCTCCACCATTGACTGGCTTTGTAACTTTGGGCACATTGCTTTTGTCTCCCTGTGCCTCAGTTTTCTCAGCTGTAAAACAGGCATAACACTGGTACACATCTTACAATATTAATAACAAGTACAGCGACTGTGAGATTTAGCTAGGTAGTACCTATGACATCCTTGGCATAGGGTCTGCAAAGTACTTAATAAATGTCAATTATAGACAGTTCTCAAACGAAGATATACAAATGGCTAACAAACGTATGAAAAAATGCTCAACATCACTAATAATTGGGGAAATGCAAATCAAAACCACAATGTGATACCACCTCGCTCCTGCAAGAATGGCCATAACAAAAAAAAATTAAAAAGCAGTAGATGTAGGTGTGGATGCACTGATCAGGAAACACTTCTACATGTGTTAGTTGGAATGCAAGCTAGAACAGCCGCCATGGAAAACAGTGTGGAGGTTACTTAAAGAGCTAAAATTAGAACTACCACCTGATCCAGCAATCCCACTACTGGGTATCTACCCAGAGGAAAAGAAATTTACACGAAAACTCGCACACACATGTTTATAGAAGCACAATTTGCAATTGTAAAATCGTGGAACCAACCCAAATGCCCATCAGTCAAAGAGTGGATAAAGAAGCTATGGTGTACATATACAATGGAATACTACTTGGCCATAAAAAGGAATGAATTAACAGCATTCGCAGTGACCTGGATGAGATTGGAGACTATTATTCTAAGTGAAGTAACTCAGGAATGGAAAACCAAACATCGTATGTTCTCACTGATGTGTGGGAGCTAAGCTATGAAGACACAAACGCATAAGAATGATGCAATGGACTTTGGGGGCTTGGGGGGAAGGGCGGGAGGAAGGTGAGGGATAAAAGACTGAAAATAGGGTGCCGTGTATACTGCTCAGGTGACAAATGCACCAAAGTCACCACTGAAGAACTTACTCATGTAACCAAACACTGTCTGTACCCCAATAACACATGGACAAATAAAAATTTTTCAAAAGTCAGTTATTACTGTGATCATCAGAGACCCCCAATTTCACCCCATCCCTTACCCAGGCAGGCAGACCTACAGGCCCGTGAGGCAGGTGCCACCCCAGCATGAATCCACCCTTGGAGTTTTGCCTCCAGCTGCCTGGGAAGTCCTCTCATTGCAAGAGTTTTCTTCTGAATCTCACAGTGGCTCTGTCCAGTTTGGACTGAGATAATTCCCATCTTGTACATGAGAAAGCTGAGGCCCAGAGAGGGTGCCTTCCTTCTGCAAGATCTGAGCACGATTTGCAGCAAAGGAGGATTGAGTCCCAGGTCTCCTGACTCCATGTTTGGTGCTCCTTCCATCCCACTGTTAGTCTGGAGAATGAGGAGGGTGAGCTGCTTCCCCAAACCCAGCTCCTGTGGAGGCCAGAAAAGGCTCTGACACTTCCGCCCTACACCCTCCATGCCTGCCAAGAGGCCTCTGACGGAGATGTGAAAAATGAACCACTAAATGTATCATGACTTGTAAGGCTGTCTTGATAATTAAATTTTATTAAAATGAACACCAAGAAATTTCCTGACATGGTCTGCGTGGTGGAGCTCATCAAAAGGTGATAAATGAGTGGGTTCTGGGGAAAGAGGATCTAAAGGGGACAGAGAGAGAGGCCCCAGGGTGGAGAAGGGAGGGAGGAGGCAGGGGGAGGCCCAGGAGCCCTAAGCAGCAGTTCAGTTAAGCACCTGGCCGCTGCTTCCCTGCTTTGCTTGGAATTACTGCTGAGGGCACTCAGGGTCTTGCAGACTGGCATGCTGAGCCCAGCTTCAGTCACGACAGACTTTAAGCCCCAGCTGGGCCACCACTAACTGTGGCAGCTCTCCTTCCTGGGTCTTCCTCCCTCCCTGAGCTGTGAAAAGGGAGACAGATTGGAGCAAACTACTCTGACCCCCGAAGGGAAGTGGGTGGCCATCCATTTTTGGAAAACTTGGTCATTTGGTCTGCAGGCATCAACTAATGTACGCACCAAACAGTATTTTCTTCTGGACTTGGTATTGGGACTGGGGAAGGTGTTATTTAGAGCAAGTCTGTTACTTGGATTTTCCATACTAAGCATTGATTGCTTTCGTACAGAAAATGAATGAACACTTCTGCCCCATATACATTCTAGAACACTCACCTGATAGTTCAAGATAGGGGGTGAGATGGAGCAGAGACTCCTTTTAGGAGCCTGTCAGGTACTCATCTCCCCAAGCATGGAGATAAAGGAAAATCTCGAAATTCCAGGCACCTAGCTAGCCTCGAGAAGTAAATGAGCAACCTGACAAGCAAGAAGGTAATGGTAGCTTAAGACAATAGCTAAGGAAATTAGAGTCACAGGGTATCTGGTTTCCTGTAGAAACTAAAGATAACATCTCAACCTATGTCCCTGAGTTGTGTTTCGGAAGCCCAGACCTCCACTAAATGAAAAGTTCAATCTGCTGGCACAAGGAGCTCAGATAAGGGGGAACTGAGGACCGAACTCAGACCGCCATGATTTCTTCTAAGTTTCTTTCTGAGGGACCTGGAAGAGATCAGGCCCACACGCAAGAGCTAACATTCTTTTCTGCCTACCTTAAAATTTTAGACAAACCCTTACCTCTTTAACACATCACAAACTGGAAAATCTTTGACTCCGCCTTTGACTTGCCACACTCCCAAACTTCTGCTTCAAGGTGTCTTGCCTTTTCAGACCAAACGAATGCATAGCCTCCATGTACTCAATTACGACTTTGCCTGTAACCTCTGCCCTTCTATCTTTAAAAGCTCTTACCTGTAAGCGATCAGGGAGTTCTGGTCTTAAGCATGAGCTCTCCAATTCTGCTTGCTTGGCGTCATGCAATAAATGCCTCACTTTCTCTGACTGCAATCCCAATATCAGTGTTTGGCTTTACTGTGTCAGGTGGGTGGATCCAAAATCAATCCAGTAATAAGAGTACAAGTTTACTGAGAGATAGGCCCTGCCCTTGGGGAGCTCACAGTGGTCTAGGGGAGAGGGGGCATGAGGCGAGTCTGTGGTGCTAAGGGCTGGGGCAGAGGTAAGCCCAGAGTGGCTAATGTGGGGCATAGGGAGGAGCCTCAGGAGAGGTTTGCTGGGCAAGAGGATACCTGTGCTAAGATGTGAAGAAGAGCTTTTTCACTATTTAGTAGAAGAGAGGAGAAAAGGAGAAAGTGGGGGCCAGATGAGCCAAGTGAAAGTGTAGAGGCATGAATAAGCACTGGGAATTCAAAGACTGCCAGCTAGTTCTGTAGGAATGGGGCAGCAGCTCAGATTGGCTCTTCCGTTTTCACACAAGGATATCAATTCCACCATCTGTCTGGCTGATAACTCTGCCCTCAATCAATAATAGCCCAGAATAATGGCATTCTGGGCCTTTCCAGGAAATACACAAACCTCTGTTATCCCCATCTCTTATTAAGAAAGAGAGAAAAGCTCTTATTAAGAAAGACAGAAAAGCTCTGAAGGAATTGTTATTTATAGAGGATTGAGTGAAGGACATTCATTCTGAAAGAGGATAGGTTTTATCCTTGAATCAAGCCAGGTCATCAGAAAACTTGTACCCAAGGACAGAGATCAATGGGACAGAATGGAAAGCCCAGAAATAGACCCAGATACAAATGGGGATTCAGTGCTTGATAAAATGTCTTTGCAATGCAGTGAGGAAAAGATGGCTCAGCCAGGGGACACTGTCTGGAGAGTTGACTAGCCATTTGGAATAAAACAAAACTACAGCTTCACACCTCACATCCAACCACGATTGATCCACCATTTACACATGAAAAAACGACTCTATAGAATAGAGGAAGAAAGCATGGATAATGTTTTCATAATATTAGAGTAGGAGAAAGTCATTCTAAGAACACAAATCTCAAAAGCCACAAAAGAAAACGTTGAAAATTTTGATTACAAGAACATAAAAACTTCTAGATAATGATAATGATATGCATAACATCAAAGGGAAAGAGATAGGGAGCAGGAGAAGGGAGACTTTCAAAGGGAAACTCCGGAAGAGTTTTAAGCAAGAGATTGTAGGGTAGAGGATGGAGTGCGCCATGAATTGTCAGAGTTTTATATTTTGAAAAAACATCTCTCTGGCTGTGCTGTGCATTGGCGAATGAGAGGAGACTGGAGGTAGAGAGACAGACAGCGTAGGTGAGAATCCGAGAAAAGGCTGTTGTGATGGGCTGGATAGGAGATGACGAAAGCTTGGGCTAGGCTGTAGCTGGGCAGCATGCAGTAGGTGGAATGGAAAAAAATCTGGAAACAGCAATCCATATGAGGTTTGGCAGTGCACTGGATAAAGCGGTCACAGGGGAGCGGCTGTCAAGGACTCCCACTTTCCACGCTCATACCCAGATGGTGGTGGTACCAACCGCTGAGATAGGAAAGACAAGAAAGGATAGATCTTGTGGTGAGGGTGGGAGGTGTATGGTTTTTTTCAGAGTTGTTGAATTTGAGATGCCTTTATTTATTTATTTATTTATTTAATTTATTTATTTCTGAGATAGGGTCTTACTCTGTTGCTCAGGCTGGAGTGCAGTGGTGTGATCTTGGCTCACTGCAGCCTTGACCTTCCAGGCTCAAGCCATTCTCTTATCTCAGCCTTCTGAGTAGCTGGGACTACAGGTGCAAGCCACTGTGCCCAGCTGATTTTTTGTATTTTTTGTAGAGATTGGGTTTCTCTATGTTGCCCAGGCTGATCTAGAATTCCTTAGCTCACGCAATCTTGCCACCTTGGCCTCCCAAAGTGGTGAGATTACAGGTATGAGCCATTGTATCAACCCTTGAGATGCCTTTGAGCAGAGCCAACCTCATAGATGAGGAATCTGTGCAGTCACATAAGGTCCCATATTTGATCTAATGCTCTTTTTGTCACCATTTAGAAATTCTTGATAATTTTTACATAAGAACTTGCATTTTAATTCTGCACCCAGCCCGCTTCTGCCTTTGAGTAACCCAGGAGTCAATGCTGTGAAATATTCAGAACTCTCAGGAGCATGGTGGAAGCTTCTGGGCTGGATATAACCAATGTGGGAATCATCTGCACTTAGGCAATGACTGGAGACCTGGGCAGGAGGCACTCCCTTCAGGAAATGCTTAGGATGACAAGAGGACAACTAGGGACTGAGTTTTCAGGTACTTGGAGATGTAACATCTGGGTAGAAGTGGGTATGAGGGTAGAAGGGGATGGAGCAGCAGGAGAATGTGGGACGCCCATGGAAGGAAGGCGTTAGGGAAAGAGGCTATGTCGAAAGCCAGCCGGAGAGCAAGAGGTGAGAGAACTGAGAAGCCTTTAGCGGGTTTGGTAAGGTGGAGGACGTTGGTGACCTCAGAAAGCAGTCTTCATACAGTGAGTAGCTGGGGAGAGAGGAAGTAGAGACAGAGAGAGGATCCACTCTTGAGAGAAGTTCTGGCATAGCCCAGAGGGGAGGCATGAGGTCACACCCCAAAGGGGCTAAGGAAGGGAGAGAGGGTTGTTAATCTTTGTTCTTATGAGATGCATGAACATGTTTTTAAGATATATTGGCTTTTGGTTGGGCCCGGTGGCTCACGCCTGTAATCCCAGCACTTTGGGAGGCCAAGGTGGGCGGATCACTAGGTCAAGAGATCGAGACCGTCCTGGCCAACATGGTGAAACCCCATCTCTACTAAAAAAAATACAAAAATTAGCTGGGCGTGGTGGCGTGCACCTGTAGTCCCAGCTACTCAGGAGGCTGAGGCAGGAGAATTGCTTGAACCTGGGAGGTGGAGGTTGTAGTGAGCTGAGATTGCACCACTTCACTCCAGCCTGGCACCTGGTGACAGAGCAAGACTCTGTCTCAAAAAAAAAAGGAAAAAAAAAGAAGATATTTTGGTTTTTGTTTGTTTGTTTGGAGGCAGGGTCTCCCTCTGTTGCCCAGGCAGAAATGCAGGGCGCAGTCATGGTTTACTGTAGCCTTGAATTCCTGGGCTCAAGCGATCCTCCTGCTTCACCTTCTTAAATAGCCAGGTGTACACCACCATGCTTGGCTGATTTTACATTTTTTTGCAGATGGGGTATCACTATGTTGCCCAAGCTGAATTTGAAGTTCTGGCCGCAAGCAATCTCCTTGTTTCAGCCTCCCAAAGCTTGCGGATTACAGGCGTGAGCTACTGCATCCAGCTCAAGTTGTATTGTTAAGCACAAAAACAGTACAGAATATTAGATGCAGACTATACCTCTTTGTTTAAACATGGGGCTGGGGACAGATTCTATGCATATGCAAAGAAAATTTCTGGGCAGAAACACAGAAACTTGTCATGATGGTTACCTCTGGGAAATGGGGCAAAGGGCTTCAGCTTTTTCCTTCCATACTGATTGATTTTTTTTATTACAACCATGAAAAAATATTTTTTGAGACAGGGTCTCACTGTATCTCCCAGGCTGGAGTGCAGGGGTGCGATCTCAGCTCACTGCACCCTCATCTCCTGGGCTCAGGTTATCCTCCCACCTCAGTCTCCTGAGTAAATGTGTGCCACCACACCCAACTAACTTTGTATTTTTTTAGTAGAGATGGGATTTCTCCATGTTGCCCAGCGTGGCCTTGAACTCCTGGGCTCAAGCAGTCTGCCCACCTTGGCCTCCCAAAGTGCTGAGGTTATAGGAGTGAGTCACCGCACCCGGCCTAACCATATTTTTTAAATAATAAAAAAACTATTAATTTGATGCCCTCAAGAACAGCTCTTAGGCACCAAAAACATTGATTAAAGATTTCTTTGGTTTTCAAAATTAACATTCAATTTATTAAGGTAACAAATTCACAGGGACCCAAGTTCCTCCATAAGCTTTGAAATTCAGCTTACAAATCTTATTATTTATTTATAAGCCTAGCAAATTTTAACAATCACTTTTAAGAGCACCTTTGAGAAATGTTTTGTCTCATTTACAAATGTTTTTAATTAAATTGCTCTAAACATTGTAAACTGCATTAAATAGGCTTAATATATTTGAATTCCTTTTTAAGTACTTCAATTGTCTAACAAACCTTCTCAAATATTTAAGTAATTGTTATAAATCTAATTCATTAAACTTCTAAATATGGCAAGGCTCAAAGTCTTTTACAGGTTCCAATTCTTATTTAAATACAATAAGATTTCAATTTAGAATCTGATGTCAAAGTGAATTGCTCCATGAAACACTTTATATTAGAAGGAAAAGTTCATGTATAACTCTAAAGGGACACATATTCTTAAACATTACAAGTGTGTAAACATAGCTTATTTCAAAGCACAAATATCTTAATAGAAAGGGTATAGTTCTATTCTATATTTCTATGTTTGGCTCACTGTAACCTCCCCCTTCTGGGTTCAAGCGATTCTCCTGCCCCAGTTTCCTGAGTACCTGGGACTACAGACACATGCCACCATGCCTGGCTAATTTTTGTATTTTTAGTAGAGACGGGTTTTGCCATGTTAGTCAGGCTGGTCTCGAACTCCTGACCTCAGATGATCCACCCGCCTCAGCCTCCCAAAGTGCTGGGATTACAGGCATAAGCCACCCCGCCCAGCCTATACCTAGTTCTAAATCTTCATTGGGTTAGAAGATGCTCACCTATGATCCTGCCGATGTCATCTTCCTCATTCCAAGAACCCAAGCATGGGTGAGGCCTCCCTCTGCTCCCTGCTACCTCCTTGCACTTGCACCAGCCTCTCCTTCCATCCTGTGGTAGAAAAGAAGCTGCTCCTCCTCTCGACTCAGGCCAAAATCAGCCTTGTTTTGTGAAGAGCCTCCCAAAGGTTGGTGCAAAAGTAATTGAGGTTTTTGCCATAGTTCCCTGGTACACATCATTCTTTTGTCTCCTATAGATCTGATCGGTTCCTCTCAACTTGGACAATTTCACATCAGCATTTTAAATATGCTCAGGTCTATCTCTTAAAAACAATAAAGCCAAAAATGTCGACCTCTGCACCCTGTTAGTCACCTTCCTGTCCATCTCCTCTGGCTCACGGCCGGCTCCTTTCAGAAGCTGTCTTCAGGTCCCTACCTTTGCATTCTTTCAGCACATTCTATCTGGCCCTCCCTGTCAACGCCACCAAAGCTTCTCTGCCTAAGGTAACCAATGATAGTCATGTCATCACATCCAATAGCTACTTTTGAGTCTCAGTTTTATTATACTTGAATTCTCAGTAACATTTGTCTCAGGACTTGGTTTATTCAAGACATTGTACTCCCTTGCCTTCCACGAAATCATCCTTGTATGGTTTTCATTCATCCTTCTCGGCTATTCCTTCTGCTATAGACTGAACACTTGTGACCCCTAAAATTCATTTACTGAAATCTTAATCCTCAAGGTGATGGTACTAGGTGGGACTTTGGGTGATGATTAGGTCATGAGGGTGGAGTCTTTATGAATGGGATTAGTGTTCTCATAAATGAAATCCCAGAGAGCTTCCTTGCCTCCTCCACCATGTGAGGGCATAGCTAGAAGGCAGCATCTATGAGCCAGAAGGCAGACTCTCACTTGCACCTTGATCTTAGACTTCCCAGCCTCCGGAACTGTGAGAAATGAATTTCTGTGGTTTATAAGCCGCTTAGTCTATGGTATTTTGTTATAGCAGCCTGAATGGATTAAGACACATTTTCTTCTTCTAATAATGAATTTCTTAAAGCCTTGCCCCTAGATCTTTTACTCATTTCACCCTCCACCTTTTCCTTGGAAATTCCATCCATTTAAAAATTGTATTTATTTTATTTTATTAACATTTCTTTGCAGATGACTGCTAGGGTTAGATCTTCATCCCAGACCTTTCTTCTAAGTCCCAAACCTACATATCCACATTCTGACTAGACATAGTCACGTGGCTCTACATCTCAGCTTGAACTCCTGCTCTCTCTGCTGCCAATCACGGCCTCCTCTTGGGTGTCCTCTCTCAGTGAACGACACCACCGTTCATTCTGTTTGCAAGCCAGATTTGGGAGTCACTCTTGACACTGCCTTCTCTGTCTCTACTCCGTATATCATCTGTCACCATTCCCTGTATACTTTAATTCAGAAATCTCTCTTAAACCTCCCCACTGGTCTTCTTCTCACTTTGAACCTCTCTAGTCCCAGCTACTATTATTTCTTTACTGGAAAACTGCAGTACTCTCCTGGGTCTCCTACATCTGCCCTGTGTTACTCACCCTCCCACTTGTCCTCCAAACCACAGTTCACAGTTCTGATTAGTTACAAACATGGCCTTTCTGACCCTTCCCCTGCTGGATTCTCCTGCTGCGTCTTCCTGCTCCATGTGGTTCAGAGACATTGGTTTTCTTTGAGCTGCAGGAATGGATCATCTCCCTTCCTCTTGCACATGCTCTGGAATGTTCTCCTGAGGACCTTCCCCCAACACCTGCTTAACTAGCAAATTTCTACCCATTTCTTCTATCCTAGTTCAGGAAGACTTCCCTGCCCTCCAGAAACAGATAAGGTTCAGAGCAGCATCTGAATACATGTATTTCTCTCTCTCTCTCTTTGTGTTTGTGTTTGTGTGTGTTTGTGTTTGTGTGTGTATGTGTGTGTGTGTAACCAACGTCTGACTCCACCAGTGAACTGTAAACCCCTTGAGGTTAGGAACCATCTAATTTTTGTTATTTCAGTGTCCTCAGAACCTAGCACAGTACCTGGTACATAGTAGGTGCTTAATAAATTGTTGATGAATGGCAAGTGCTGTGGAGGCCCATGCCCTTCACATCCCTTGGATGAAGAGATTTCTTTGAACGATAATAGCTTGGAAAGCTCAGTTTTCTCTAAAGAACTGATGTGTGAGAGGGAAGCAGGGAAAGGCGGATGGGAAGCACAGATGGTTCATAGCCTCCAACTAGGGGCAGGCTGGATTTCCCCCCAGGAATTTGCCGAATCATGTTCACATTCTAATGAGAATAAGGGATATGTTATAGGATCTATAGCGAAGGTATGCTGTATAGAAAAAATTTATCCTGTGTATGAAATTTTATGTCTCCTCCCCACAAGCTGCAGCATGTTAGCTTAGCCAGCTCTGGGTGGTTGTGGCTCTCTCCAGCACTCAGAGTGTCCCAGTGCTCATGTTCCAGAAGGATCTCTCCCATGGCTTGGAAGTTGAAAGACTGCAGGGCAGATCACCGCAACAGGTAGAGCACCTGTACAGAGAGCACTTGTGGTACACAGATGATGGCAGAAGTGACTCACATGGAGCTCTGGGGCTTGCCTCCTAACCATATGGGCACCCACACTCAAGCCAGTAGGACGGAGACCAGAAAGCAGGCTGTCCACTGAGTGGACACTTTCAGAAATGTGGATGAGGCACAACACACCCTTTCTGGTTAATGGATGAGGTCCCTACAGCGAGGCTTTGGGGGTTAGAATTCCATGATTCCCAGACTTCTTGGGCTGTTTGTTCACAGGTCCTGTGTCAAAGAATCTCAGGAGTGGTGTAGGTAGTGGCTGAGAGCATGCGATGTCTTTATACTCCGGGCAAATCTGAATATGCACTTCCATTTTTGGTTACCCAGCTCTCTGACCTCAAGCAATTCCTTATGCTTCTTTAAGCCTGGATTCTGCATCTGAAATACTATGATAATGATTCCACTTGACTGCACTGTTGTGAGGTTTTGAGATGACAAATATTACCATACTCAGTTCAATGTTTTTACTGCCACAGCTTTGAAGTAAGATTTGAAAACAAGACGTGTAAGATGGACTTTGTCTAGCTTTGTTCTTCATCAAGAGTGTTTGGCTCTTTGGGGTCACTTGCAATCCATATGAATTCCAGCAATAGCTTTTCCATTTCTGCAAAAATGGTCACGGAATTTTGATAGAGATTGCACTGTATCACTTTGAACCCGTAAATCAATTTGTAAATGACTTTATAATATTATTATAAGTTAAGTATTGCCATCTTAACAATATACGTCTTCTGATAATGAACATGATGTCTTTGCATTTATTTCTATCTTTAATTTATTTCAATGATATTTGGTCATGTTTAGAGTATAAGTGTTAGATTTCTGTTAAATTTATTCATAAGGATTTTATTTTCTTGATGCTATTATAAGTGGGATTGTTTTTTTGAATTTTATTTTTGGATTATTCATGACTACTGTATAGGAATTTTAATTCTATATCCTGCAACCTTGCTGATCTTGTTAATTAGTTCTGATAATTCTAATAATGAATTCTATAGGATTGTTCCTATGTAAGGTAATGTCATTTGCTAATAGGTTTATTTCTTCCTTTCAAATTGAAATTCCTTTCATTTCATTTTCGTGCTTAATTGCTCTGGCTAAAAATTCTAGTATAATGTTTAATAAAAGTGCCAAGGGCAGACATCCTTGTGTTCTTCCTATTCTTAGAGGGAAAATATTCAGTCTTTTACCATTATTTATCATATTAGCTGTGGATTTTTGGTTGATGTCCTTTATCAGATAGGGAAAGTTCCACTCTGTTTCTGGTTTGTTGAGGGTTTTTGTCATGAAGGCAAGTTGGATTTTGTTAAACGGTTTTTCCGTGCCTCATAAGATGATCATGTATTTTTTTCTCTTTTCTATTGGATTATGTATTATATTAATTAATTTTCAGATGTTAAACCAACTTTGCATTCCTGTGATAAATTCTATTTGGTCATGGTTTTGATCTTTTTAACAGACTGCTGGATTCAATTTACTAGTATTTTGTTGAGGATTTTTATGTTTAAATTCATAAGCAATATTGGTCAGCAGTTTTCTTGTAATGGCTTTGTATGGTTTGATATTGGGATAATAGTGGCCTCACAGAATGAATTGGAAAATGTCTCCTCTTCTGTGTTTTAGAAGGGTTTATGGAGAATTGGCATTAATTCTTTAAATGTTCTGTAGAATTCACCAGTGAAGCCATCTGGGCTTAAGCTGTTCTTCGTGGGCAGTTTTAAAACGATGAATTCAATCTCTTTATTATTATTGTTGTTGTTTGGTAGTTTTAAATTTTTATATTATTTTTAATTTTTTTATGTCCACATGTTATTTGGGAGCTGGTAGTGTATGGTTACATGACTAAGTCCTTCAGTGGTGATTTGTGAGACTTTGGTGCACCCATCACCCGAGCAGTAAACACTGAACCATATTTGTAGTCTTTTATCCCTCACCCCCTTCCCACCCTTTCCTCCTGAGTCCCCAGAGTCCATTGTGTCATTCTTATGGCTTTGCCTCCTCATAGTTTAGCTCCCACTTATAAATGAGAACATGTGATGATTGGTTTTCCATTCCTGAGTTACTTCACTTAGAATAATAGTCTCCACTCTCATCCAGGTCACTGTGAATGCCAATAATGCATTCCTGTTTATGGCTGAGTGGTATTCCATCATACATATATACCACAGCTTCTTTATCCACTCATTGATTGATGGGCATTTGGGTTGGTTCCACATTTTTGCAATTGTGAATTGTGCTTCTATAAACATGTGTGTGCATGTATCTATCTTTTTTGTATAATGACTTCTTTTCCTCTGGGTAGATACCCAGTAGTGGGATTGCAGAATCAAATGGTAGTGCTAATTTTAGTACTTTAAGAAATCTCCATACTGTTTTCCATAGTGGTTGTACTAGTTTACATTTTCACTAGCAGTGTAGAAGTGATTCCTGTTCACTGCATCCATGCCAACGTCTCTTTTTGTTTTGATTTGATTTTTTGATTATGGACATTCTTGCAGGACTGAGGTGGTATTGTGCTGTGGTTTTGATTTGCGTTTCCCTGATCATTACTGATGTTGAACATTTTTTCATGTTTCTTGGCCATTTATATATCTTCTTTTGAGAATTGTCTATCTATGTTCTTAGACCAATTTTTGATGAGATTATTTGTTTTTATCTTGCTAATTTGTTTGAGTTTATTGTAGATTCTGGATATTAGTCCTTTGTCAGATGTATAGACTGAAAATTTTCTCCCACTCTGAGACTTGTCTATTCACTCGGCTCACTGTTCCTTTTGCTGTCCTAAAGCTTTTAGTTTAACTAAGTCCCAGCTATTTATCTTTGTTTTCATTGCATTTGCTTTGGGTTCTTGGTTATGAAATCCTTGCCTAAGCTAATGTTTAGAAGTGTTTTTCATGTTTTTTCAGCTCTCAGCTTCAATATCTTTTAAAAATACCTATTTAGATATTCTATTTCTACTTAGGTCAGTTTTTGCAATTAGTGTCTTTCTAAGAATTTGTCCATTTCATTTGTAATTTAATTTGTTGGCATATTGTTGGCTCATTGTATTTCCTTATACTTTTTGTATCTATGAGGTTGGTAGTAATGTTCACTCATTCATTCCTGATTACAGTAATTTAAGTATTCTTTTTCTCTTGGTCAGTTTAACTAACAGCTTGCCACTTTTGCTCATCTTTTGAAAGAAACAGCTGGGTGTGGTGGCTCAGCATTTTGGGATGCTGAGGCAGGAGGATTGCTTGAGCCCAGGAATTTGAGACCAGCTTGGACAACATAGGGAAACCTCATCTCTACAAAATGTTAAAAACATTAGCTGGACCTGGTGGTACACTCCTGTGGTCCCAGCTACTCAAGAGTCTGAGTTAGGAGGATCACTTAATTCCAGGAGATAGAGGCTGCAGTGAGCTGTGATTGGGCCACTGCACTCTAGCCTGGGTGACAGAGCTAGACTTTGTCTCAGGAAAAAAGAAGAAAACAAAAAAGAAAGAGAAATAAAGAAGACAAGAATCACTTTTTGGTTCCATTGATATTCCCTGTTGTTTTTCTGTGCTCAATTTCATTAATTTCCACTTTTATTATTGTCTTCCTTCTGCTTGCTTTAGGATTAGTTTGCCCCTTTTCCCCTAATGTGTTAAGGTAGAAATTTAGATTATTGACATGAGATCTTTTTTTTTTTTTAATATTACTTTAGGTTCTGGGATACATGTGCAGAACATGCAGGTTTGTTATACAGGTATACTTGCGCCTTGGTGGTTTGCTGCTCCTATCAACTCATCATCTAGGTTTTAAGCCCCGCATGCATTAGGTATTTGTCTTGATGCCCTCCCTCCCATTGTCTCCCAGTCCCCAACAGGCCCAAGTGTGTGTTGTTCCCCTCCGTGTGTTCATGTGCCTTATTGTTCAACTCCCACTTATGAGTGAGAACATGTGGTATTTGGTTTTCTGTTCCTGTGTTAGTTTGCTGAGAATGATGGCTTCCACCTTCATCCATGTCCTTGCAAAGGACATAAACTCATTTTTTTTTATGGCTGCATGGTATTCCATGGTGAATATGTACTATATTTTCTTTATCTAGTCTATCATTGATGGGCATTTGCATTTGTTCAAAGTCTTTGCTATCGTACATAGCGCTACAATAAACATATGTGTGCATGCATCTTTATAGTAGAATTATTTATAATTCTTTGGGTATATACCCAGTAATGGGATTGCTGGGTCAAATGGTATTTCTGGGTCAAATGGTATTTCTGGTTCTATATCCCTGAGGATTTGCCACACTGTCTTCCACAATGGTTGAACTAATTTACACTCCCACCAACAGGGTAACTCTTTTCATTTTTAATGTAGGTACTTAGAGCTGTAAATTTCCCTCTAACCATTGCTTTAGCTGTATTGCATAAGTTTTTATATGTTGTGTCTTAATTTTCATTCATCTCAAAGCATTTTCTCATTTATTTTGTGATTTCTTCTTTGACCAATTGGTTATTTATGGTATGTTAATTTATGTATACTTGTGAGTTTCCAAAAGTTCTTTCTAATTTTATTCTTTGTGGCCGAGAAACATATTGTGTACACTAATTTCTGTTCTTTTAAATTATTGCAGCTTGTTTTGTGACCTAGCATATGGTCTATTCTATGGGATGTTTGATGTGTGCTTAAGAAGAATATGTGGGCCAGGCATGCAGCTTGTGCCTGTAATCCCAGCACTTTGGGAAGCTGAGGCACGTGGATCACCTGAGTCTGGGAGGTTGAGCCTGCGGTGAGCCATGATCACACCACTGCACTCCAGCCTGGGCAACAGGGTAAGACTCCGTCTCAAAAAAAAAAAAAAAAAAAAAAAAGGGGTTTTTTGAAAAAAAAAAAAAAAAAAAAGTATGCTTCTGTTGTTGGGTGGATTATTCTATAGATGTCTATTAGGTCTAGTTGGTATACAGCTTTGTTAAAATATTCTATTTTCTTGTTGATCATTTGTCCAGTTGTTCTATCCATTATTGAAGGTGAGGTATTGAAGTTTCTAAATATTGCTGAACTGTCTGTTTATCCCGTCAGCTTTGTCAGTTTTTGTTTTATGTATTTTGAAATTCTATTATTAGGAGCATATTTGTTTATAATTGTGGTATCTTCCTGATATCTTGACACTTTTATTATTATAAAATATCCCTTTTTATCTGTAGTAACATTTTTGTTTTAAAATCCATTTGCTTAATATTGCAATAGCCACTCCAGGTTTATCTCTTCTTTTTTTAAGAACAATATTCTTTTAACCTTCATTCAACTTCGTAGTGAGGGTAGAAGTAAAAATAGAAACATCAAATGAATGCGCGGACTAGATAAGCTATAAAAATAACTAGTTCTTTATGTTTACACAGAATTCTGTCACACAGATTTCAGAATTATATAGCTTAAAGAGTTCTACTTATATGAAAACATTCTCAATTCTGAAACATTTCCAACTTCCTATTCATTTTTCTTAGAAATCGACAGGCAATATTTCATAGTTTTACCAGGTGAAGTTTGATATCTTTCCATGATGGTTATCAAGAAGTTTTCTAAACTTCTAACCTACATCCTAAATTCCAGTTTCATGTAAGGCAGAGTACAAAAACCAGTTCTCCTGGGCATCAGGTATCTCCTGACTTATAAGTAAGGGTCTCTGGCAGGATGCAAACATTTTAGGTCAAGGCCACTTGTCGGAATTTGCTTCAGGTTTAGATATACTCCTCTAGTCCTTTATTACAATCAATGCCAATCTCCTTTTCTGACATCATTTGTTTTAACTTGGAAGAAGTTCCCTGTATGGATACCAAAATTTAATTTGTCCCTCCCACTTTTCTGAGTTAATTATACTCACTTCCTTGAGTCAACCATGAAAACAAATGCACTTTTTCCAGAATTTTAAAGAAATTTGGGTGTGGTGAGAAATGACCTTCTAAAACTGCAGGACTTTTTTCCTCTTTTTGCAAGGTATAAGCTCTTTTTCTAGGAATAAAGCTTGCTTTCCTATGAATGGATTGAAATCTGGAGTTAGCCAACCTTCCTGAGCCACTGTAATGGTTTTCTAAGTGGCGTAACAACTAACATGTCTTTATTATGTGACAGTCTCTGTGGGTCAGAAGGATGAACACTGTTTGTATCCTTTTCCCCAGCTCTCACAAGACTGCAATCAAGGTCTGGTCTGTATTTTATTTGTCAGGCTCAACCTGCGAAGAATCTGGTTCCAGGCTTACTCATGATGTTGGCAGAATTCATTTTCTGTGTCTGTAGAACCAGGGATGCCTGTATCTTGTTGGCTGTTTGTTGGATGCCAATCTTAGCACCTAGGACTTCCCACAGCACCTTTTCACCTGGAAGTCTTCATCATGGTTACATACTTTGTCAAGTTAGCAAGGAGAATCTCTAGCATGAGTCTTCCAGCATAAAGAAGCCACATGATGGAATGTAATCACAGAGGTAATGCCCTGTCACCTCTGCCATATTCTGCTGGTTAGAAGCAAGTCACAGATCTCATCTACCTTCAAGTGGCGCTTATTCCACAAAGGTGTAAATACCAGAAGGCAAAGCTTACTGGCAATTAATTTAGGGTCTGTCCACTACTTGTGTTGGAGTGGTCCTCAAAAGACATGCCCCAAAGTTACTTTCAGATTTTCTAAAAAGGAAACTGGAACCAGGAATGTGGTACCTCTGCTAAATAGCGCCTGGAAGTGCACCTGTTTTCTCCATTCGTATGGTGGCTGCGTGATGTGCAGACTGCCTTTCCCAATCCTTCAGCACTAAACCAGCACATTGAAGATGCGACAAAGACCATTACATTGACATAGAGGCCACTTCCCTAATAAGACAACTTTCCTTTAAAGTTAAATTGAGACACTAAGTGGAGATATCCTTTTAATGGCTACTGAGCGTAAATGCATTTTGAGAGCAAATGCTCCTTCAGGAAAGATCATCTCTAATGTTCTTTCAAATCGTCAATTTGGAGGGTGAAGAGGAATGTGATTAGAAGACCAAAATAACAAAGAATTTTGAGACCAGCAAAAATGTTGACTGCACGGACATGTAATTTAAACTGCCAAAGTACTAGCACATTTCTGACGCAAAATACACTTAATCAGTAATAATCCTGTTCCTCAAGAAGGCTTCTAATTTGTTTTATTGCCTTTTTAGATTTGTCCCCTTTCATTTTCTAAAATATAATCATAGTTCAGCGACTCCATCTGTGAATGATCTGGTGATGAATTCTGGGTGGTAATGATGTACAGCGAATGAATAACAATTCCTTAATCACGCTGTTTCCTCTGTTGTCGCCTCATTTGAATTCCTGGCTTTCAGAAAATTCAATTATATTTGCAATTTCATCAAGAAATTACTTAGATAAATAACTGACAGGGTAACAGTTAGCTTCTTTGTCAGGATAAAGGCAGAAGGAGTGGGGTGGAGAGAGAAGTGGGGAAAGACAGATTTGATCAAAAGTGTCATAAAGAAGTTTTGCTTTCCTGAGAGGAAAAGGAGAAGGGTGACAATTTTACAGCCACGGATGTCAGCTTGGCCTGAAGATGGGAAGTGACAGGAGCCCTTAAATGAAACCTCCTCATCCATCAGGCCTGGCCTAACATCCCTCTCTGGAACTGTCACTAGCTTTTGCTGACGTTTATAAGGCCCAGCCCGCATTCCAGGCAGAAATTTACGATGGACGATCGGAGGTGCCCATTGTCACCTTCATCATCTGAGTTTCATATTGGATTCTGCAGCCACACACACCAGGCGCTTTCTGGTTGCTACGGAGAAGACTTACTTTGACTTTAATCTTGCCAATAAAGAATCTCTGAGTGTTTGAAGAAAGAGATTAATCATCTTCTTCAACTAACATCTGTTGGCATTCTGTCTCTATTGGGTGATTAGTCCCATTACCCAACAACTGTCAGAAGTGATGCAAGCACCACACAGTGTGTGTCTGATCCACACTCAAAGCCTGAATCTGTTCTGTTCTCAGTCCCCAATGCTACCAACCACGTGTCTTTCCATGGGGAAGTAGGCCCGAGGAATAGAGATGGAGTCACAGGGGTGTCCATGGATTGGAGTGATATCAGCAGGACTTTTGAGGATGGCCTTGCAGACGGTTACCACTCCATGACAATAGCCACTAGCTCAGGCCTGGTCAGGGCAGCTCCTGGGATAGAGAGCATCTGCTCCATGCTGCATGCTCTTACCTGTGGAAGCAGATGTCATCATCCAATTGTAACATTCTTTTCTCAAGGAATGTTAGCTGAGGCCCCTCTAGATGAGACATGCCCAGTCACGGATACCCAGGACAGCAAAGCTTGCATCCTTTCCCTGCACACACACACACACACATACACACGTACACACCACACACACAAAATGGAGGGGAAGCTGAAGCATCTCTCCAGAAAACATCTAGAATGTTCAAGGTTGTCCACTCCAACTGGTACTACCTATCAGAAATACATTTCTCACTATCAATAAGTTTACAGAAACTGATTAGTTTTTTTGTTGTTGTTTTGGAAGTTCAGGTTTCTGGGAACTGGATGGTGTCAATGCCTTTTAGAAAAAGACCAGGAACACACCTGCAGCTGAACAGAACTGGGTTTATTGGCTCATTGCAGCAAGGAGACTGTGTGCTGTGGGGAACAGTGAGGCGTCTTTGTGAGAGGGTGTCAGGAAGGACTCATGAAAGGATGCAGGCTTGTGTTAGGTGACTAGGGAGGGCTCAGTTGGACACCATCAGGCAGTAGGAGTAATTCTATAATTGGGCACCTGTAATCTTATCTCTAAGGTAGAAGGACTTGTGCAGGGCCAACATTGTCTTTGGTGTCACTCCGATTAGCTAAAAAAGTGGGATGTCTGATCATTTTCGTGCTTGGATAATGTTCATGTTTTGTCTGTATTCAGACATGACTATGAAGTGCTCTCGATTTTGTCTTGCTCCAACACAGTCAGAGTAGCCTTGTGTGATGTCAATGTTCTGTGAAATTGTTTAACAGGAAACCATATGGGCCTGGCCATGAGAACCAGGCCAGCTCCCTTCATTTGGTCCTTTTTCAAGGTCATGATCCCCTTCTTCATATCCATGCTCTTGATAATCACCCACGCTCTTCTAAATATTAAGCACCTTCTCTATGGCAAGTGTCAGGTGATGGGGTTGGAGCACCAAACGTGTCAACCACCATCGTGCCCTCTCAAAGCCCCTGGCCTTGCAGGGGAGATTGTCGTGATGGGGTATTATGAGTGCTCAGCTTGCAATCTGAAGGATGTTGTCAGCTACAAAATGGAAGGGATCCTGTGTGGCCAGAGGGGATGTCCTGCAAAAGCCGAGCCTTCAAGGAGCCTTGAAGTTGGCCAGAAAAGAGAAAGGGGAAAGTGCTTCTAGGGATCGGTGGTGGGGGTAGTGGGAACAACTGGGTCAAAGCTTTAATTCTTGAGATCTGAGAACTATGAGGAGTTTACAGGGTAGGAATGAGGGGTGAGGGTGGACAGCAGGTGGGAGCTAGACCACAGGAGGCCCCGCCAGCCCTTCAGAGGAGTCTGGGTGGAATTTAACCTATGGTGAGTAACGGGGAGCCACAGAAGGGTTTCCAGTTAGGGAGTGCCATGGTCTGATTTATGTTTTACACAAGACACACCTACAGAGTGACTGTAAGAAAGGGAGACAGACAGGAGTGGCTGAACTGGACATCTTGACTTGTGAGTAGAGTCCCCAGGCCCTATACGACTGCTTCTAGTTATCAAAGCAGGAGAAGAAACTGCAAAGGAGGTAGCGCAGAAAGAGCTGACCCATTGCTTAAGAGCACCTGGCAATGCTGCTACTTCTAATCCCAGCTGATGTGCACTCAGCATTTAACACACATAGCTGCACTGTTCTAAGTTCCTTATGTGGATTATTGTGTTGTATCATGACAATGATCCTATGGAGTAGGTGCTTCTTTTTTTTAGTCCAGGTTGTAGGTGAGGAAACTGACGCACAGAGAGGCCGAGCAATTTGCTCATCGTCCAGATGCTAAGTGGGGCAGTTCAGCCCTGAGCAGCCGGATTCAGGACCTGTGCCATTTCCCTCTGGGTTCCTTGGAGCCCTGCAAGTGCCAGGCTCTACCCTGCACACTGTGCTCATCTGGGCCTCACAAAACTGTGCTCCAAGGGTGTGAGGAGCTCAGGGTGGCAATGTCAGGGGCCGAAGCATAGTTTGGAAGTGGACAGCTACTTTTCAGGAGTTGGGACGAAGAGCTAGAAGCTCAGTAACTATGGGGAAGCTCCTCTTACTTTGCAAGTGTGCTAACTTTGAGTCCAGTGTCCAGTACGGGGCTTGCTGGTTTTGCCCTAGAAGTTTGAGTTCATTAGATGTGTATGAATGAACAAATGGAGAGTGAATGAATGAACCAACTCAGTACCTCTCTTCTAAATAGAAGGCAATAGGATATTGTGTAGATGAGAGAGGAGAGGGCTAGTGTGTCATTTCCAAGAACGCTTTCTCATGGAGACACTGCAGTTGCCATTGTGATGATGTTAACTGCACAAAGAGAATTCGCTTCCTTGAATCAAGCATCAAGCAAACTGCTGAATGTACTTCCCAGCTGTGTAGCCCTACACGGGTCCCTCACATTCCCTGAGCCTCAGTATCCTCATATATGTAATATAGGAAAAATTATCTTATAGATTTGTTTTCCCAATTATAGAGTATATTTTAAGTATCTATTAAGACGTGGTATATAATGGGTGCTGGGTAGACAAAAGGAGGTATGAAAATGAGCTATTTTTGAACAGTTATAAATCACTGAAAAGTATGGCTTTATTTGCTACAATCAGAGGGGAAGAGAGAGGGGTGGGAAACAGGCCTTGGGTCGGGTCAGACCAGCTCCTACACTATTATTGGTTTGCAATGCCTTTTCACTTGTGGCTTTTTATCTTACCCATTCCTGAAAATTGCTAAAGAAATGGCCCTTCTCTGGTAATTGTTCCTTTTGGTGGTCAGTGTTCCTCAGGCAACTCCATTAGCATCACCATGGCAACCTGCCCACTGAAGGGGCTTGCAGCCCACGCTTCTCCCAGAGAGCAAGCAGTCACTCCTCCAAGCCCCCAGGGCCTTCACGGCGGGGCAGAGAAGAAGGAGCGCAGCAATGTGAGTGTTTCTACCTGTGGGATCTGGGATGTGGGCATAAGAGGACATGGGGCCTGGCATACAACAGATGTACAAGACATTCTGGTAGAAGTGAAATGAGGTAACTCTATTTTGGGGTTTTCTGGAACAGGGCCGTTGTCCTGAGTCCAAAAACTGAAGCTGCCCATGCTGCCAAGCAATGATAGTGGGGGATTGCTCTGGCCTAAGGTGGTTCCATCCATCCAACCATTCAACAATATCAATAGGCTGGACACCTATACTAACAACTACCAGCCATGATGAAATAGAGGCACTTCTTTTCTCATGCAGCTCACAGAGTAGTGAGGAAACAGGGGTCAGGGTGCTAGGAAGAGGAACATCCAGGGTGGTGTGGGAGCCCAGATTTGGGGTGATCAGGAAGGGCTTCTCAGGGGAGGAGCCCTCAAGCCTGACTCTTGGATGAATGGCTAGGAGTCATCCAGTAGCAAATGGAGGGTGAATGCCTGCTCCAGGTGGAAGAAATGACACCTTCGAAGGCCTCAAAGTGAGAGGGAATAGGATGACTTCAACTGGAAACTCATGACAACTTGTCTCAGTCGAGGTCTCATTTGTAAGCACAAACGCTGAGCCTGGCTCATCCACGCAGAAAGGGGATTGATTAAGTGACATTAGTTGGCCCACTGAATCTCTGAGAAACTAAAATCAGCTCGGAGGCTATGGGCCAGGAGCCGCCTATGGAATAACATGGTGAAACTGGCCTTGTGAAGACACCCCTGTCTTGGTCGCTGGCACTGGTATGGTGGCTTGTGTGGCCAACATCACTGAGGCTGAATTCTTGGTGCTGCCCCTGGGAGCTAGGTTCCATGCACCTGGTGCCACTCCCTGCACAAACGGAGTCCTGTGTGGTTCCTGATTCTTCAAGCCATGACTTCCCACTCAAGCTCTGGGGTAGAAGGGTTTGATCGACTGGTTCTAGGTCATTTACGCACATCACAGCTGCAAGAGAGGCTGGGACAGAGGGAATGTGGCATTCCAGCCTTACGATGAGAGGTGGGGTCTGCTTCATAAAGAAAACAGAAAGATTCCTAAACGTGACTTGAACATGTGAGTGCCCGCAGTCCTGTCATTTGACCCAAATTCAGTCATTGGGGTCAACGAATGCCCCCCTCCCAATTCTTCCCCTTAGCCCCTTTGTGGTGTGCTTCTCT